TACCTGCTCTTAGATTGCAAATAATGCCTTACAAAAAACTCATGGTAACTGGCAATTTTGTTCCACGCTCTGACGGAGAGAAACTCTAGGGGATTTGCACCGGAGTGAACAGAGACGCTGTCCGTGACTCCCGGATTTGTGCTGGACTCAGCTTAGGGGAAAGCCTGCGGGGGCGGGGGGGACGAGGGAGGCTGGAGAGCCGCCGTTTTCCCTCTCCTACCTCGGAGGCGGCCCGCCCGACTCGCAGGTAAGCTGCCTCTCTATGGTGCTTATTCGCTGCGGGGAACTCGGCTCCCAGGGGCATGCTCCGGTGTTAATGAGGGCGGCGGCTTAGGGCTGGGGCTCAGGTCGGTCTATCAAATCAGGCTGGAGTTTAACATCGGCATCTGCTGCTTTACGCTTTCAATCACATTCTTTGTAAACTTCTCCTGGGGGAGGAAAGAGAAAAGGGAAAAAAATCAGGTGACCCTGCGCTATTAAGATGACACAAGCTCTAATTCAGCGAGGCTGTGTGCGCCCGGAAAGACTAAAGCACCTTCCACTGACGTAGGGAATCGCGCATCTCCCATCCTTGAGCCGTTTTAAAAGACAGTTTTGATTTATCCAAAACATTAGCGGAACTGTTATTCTAAGAGAGGTAAACTAGAAAACACACTTGCCTCTGCGCTCGTTTGAGCTTTGTTTATGTGCTTAAAACGCCACCGTGAGGCGAGCGCAAATAAAGCAGCGAGAGTCACCGCCTGCCAAGGAGCTCTCGGATTAGCACTTTGCTAAGCAAAACAAACAGCGTTAGCAACGTCGCGAAAGTCATCGAAGAATCTCGCCCTGGCAACCTGCTCTTGCAGCGGCTCTTGCCATAAAACGGCAGCCGGGGCCGTCCTGCGGCCTCACCCACGCCGACCAAGTCCACGCGCGCATGCACACACACACGCGCTCACACACGTTTTCTCTCCTTCTCTGAGGGATACATGGGTCACAAACAGGAACACAATTTAAGGCTCAGAGGTAGGAATAACAAAAGGGAAAAAATAATGACACGGATTTTCTTAATCACATGCCCCCGAAAGCCTCCTCATTTGCCTTTCCCACTGGAAGCCAGAGTGCACAGTGCTCGTTTCCACAGTGGGACCTGGATGCAGAGGGCAAGAGCCCCTCAGCCCTTTCCCTGCCGCATAGTAGCTCCACTGTCTGCAAAGTGCCTCCAAACTCCCTGCTTACAGGGGGTTCCTTTTCATAGCATATGCCTGGAACTATTTCTGACTGTTTTTCTCAGCTCAAACCCAGCTCCCCAAGAAAGCTCAGACCAAGCGCACTGTCCAGGCTTCCCTAGGGGATTTTGTTTCTCTAACCTTCTATTTGTTTTCAATTCATGGGCTAGCTTTAGCATTTATAATCTACATGGACTTGTTTTTTAATGGAAAGGGAAATAGCATGTTGCGACCCTCAAACAGTGCCTTGAGCGGTGGTGCTTATTTAAAGTTGTAGGCAATGCTTTGTCAGCACAGTGAATTTTTTAGGCATGCTCCAGCCACAAGAACACTATAGCATTGGATCAGCATTAAGAGATGGATCCTAGGGGCATCTACAGGGGCATAAATACATTCTGATACACTGCAATTCATAGCTGTAGTCCCATGAAAAGCCTCACCTAAAAAGGGAGGTCTTACCCCCAGCCCTGCAGCAGCAGCTGGTAGGATCAGTGCTCTCCCCTAGACCAGGAAACCAACACAGCAGGACAAAGATTGAGTCCCCAAACTCCCGCCTGTAAGTCACACCAGTGGAGTAAGCTCTGCAAATGGATCAGGAGATTGCTAATAAGATGCTCCGAAATAAAGCTGGTATCACTTTCAGCTGTGATTAGAAATCACATTAAGATTTACCATCTGATACTTCATGGGCATCACATACAAACAAACAAACAACCCTAAACAAAGTGTTACTGTGAAAGGAGCAAACTTTCCCACTGAAATGGGTCTGCTCTTTTCATTCTGTTCATTTCAGCTACCAGATAGATCTGCCTAGTTGGTATATTGGTATTTTTTCTATTCCTATCTCTGTATCATAGGATGACAATAAAACACTCACTTCAGATAGAAAAAAAGTTGTCCAGGGTGGATGGATAATTCAAAATGTGTATTCTCAAAAACAACCAAGAGCTATATTAGGAGGGACTTAAGCAATCACCACAGTCATATTAAGGCATCTCGTCCTCGAGCATACACCTGTCTGGCTCACATATTATAATGATACTCCCAGCTTCAGAGATAGCTGATCATGTTATATAAATGAAGGTCTGAAATACTGGCATGTATTTCTATATACTTCTATAGCACATTCATATTCAAGGAGCCCCTATAGCCCCCAGTTGTATTATTTTATATTACTGCCCAGAGTAAATTGTAGGTCAGTGATTTAAACATGAAGGCTGCTGAGTATTTTTCCCTAGAATATCAATTACAGAGAAATCTTTAGCAAAGATGATTACTGCAAGCCACGCTAAGCTATTCTAGGGGCTTATCAGCCCAGCATGGTGCATTTATGTTTCCCTCTCACTGGAAGTGTCCCATCCCAATGGGTGCACACCAGAATAGATGCACACTGTATATAATCCGTCAGTTTATTTTTGTTTCATACATTTTAAAAATTCCAATAGAAAAAGTGTGGGTTTTTTAGAAGATTTGACTGACATGCTGCAAACAAGATACTGTGTAAAAACCAAAAAACCTTAAATGCTAGAATAAATATACACAGCTGTTTCTGACCGGAGGACTGGTCCACATTACGAATAAATGCATTGCCACTAAGCCACATACACTGGCCACACAAACAGAAATAAAAGGCATTCTTGAACTAGGCAATGATCTTTTATTTTATACTCCTTGAACTGTGCCCTTAAAAACTGCACTGGTTTCAAGATGCTCCTGTGCTTTTGTGCTAATATGGCCTAACCTTGTAGGCTCACGTCACTGTCAATTGTTTCACCTGCAAGTTCAGTCTCTGCAAATTGGAAGTGCATGTCCCTTCTTAGGATCAAAATGATGATGCTAAAGTGCATAAAATGCTTAGAAAGCATTAAGAAAAAAAAACATTTCTACAAAAATGGGTGCACGGTTATTTTGAACTATCCTATTTTGCCTGAAGTTGTCAATATCTAATAGGTAATATGACTTTCTCCCACTTTGATCATCTCTTAGAACATTTTATATTTCAAACCAAAGCTTGCACTACTAACCTCTTGCAACAAAGTTGACTAGGAAGCAAGTTACTGTATAAATCTTTCAAAACACATTTAAATGCAGCTATTAGACCAGGAACATTGGGTAAAAACTGTTGAAAGTATTCAAACTGTTAGAACCATGACATGACCTCAATATATTTGAGCATTCAGTTATATGATTTTTTTTTCCCCCCAACATAATAACTAATTTAAGACCAAAATAAAATGAATGTGATTTGACTGCTCTGGAATCTTTGTGAGAAAAAATGACTGAAAGATCAAGACATTTTATTTCCTGTTTGAATCAATGATCAATATGTCTTATACATAAGAATATAATATAAACTGCCTTTTTTAAAAATAAGCACAAGCTAGAATTAAAAAAAAGTTTTGAGAGCAAAACTATTTATTAAGTTGTTGCAATCTATAATTATGAAGTAAGCTGAATAAAGCATCTTACATTAGATCTAAATTCTTTAGTCAAGTAAAAAACCCATTGATTTCTACATGAGTGTTGCCCGAGTAATAGGGTTTCCTGTCAAACTGTTAAAATCAGCTAACTTCTGAAAGTCTACAGATTGATGGAAAAGCCTACCTAAAGGTATGCATTTAATACAGAAAAGTAATTCAAGTTACTGGGCAACAGCTTTTTAACATTTACAATAAAATAGGGCATTAATGCAAGCAGATACTTTAAAGGGATTTATAATTCCGTCTCTGGTCATGCAGAGAGTTATGCTTGTACTTATATAAGTAGTGCCAGAGAATTGGTCTTCTCACATCACAGGCATTTGAGGGTTGGGATCTATGACACTAGAAATATGAATAAATGGGATAAATATTCCACAAGCAATAACAATACTATTTGTAAATCAATTACAGTGCATTACACTGTAAGACTAGTTTTGGAGTGCTGTATTTAGAAGTTTGTGAGTCATGATATATATTTTCTTTGTTTTGATTTAAAAATCTTCTATCATTATTACATAGCAGAGTTACCCTAAAAAAAAAGTTAACACAGACATTAGAGGTCCTACAGCAAAAAAAATAAAAAACCCTTGAAATACACATTTTTCTTGGCCTTTTTAGTGAAGTATTGTAAGCTTAATTCTAAAATGATTGTGAAGTAAATAAACATTAACTCTGCTCACCAGTATCAGAATAGTTGAAAGTATATTTTATAAATTTTTGAGAGCATCAGCATCATGATATGGTTGTCATAGAAACTGCAACAATATGTCATTTCAATTAAATTTATATGCAGTGATGCTGAGGCCTGTGTAATAATTCTTTTGAAAAGTTCCAGAAGTAAATATTAAAGAGTAAGAATAAAAATATGAATAGGCAATAGTACTCTTCAACTATTATTCAACAAAACTAGGAAAAATCTAAATTATTGTTAAAACAGTAAGTCAACATACAGTTGCAGAAACTACAGTTAAGCAGACTTTGATCTAAAAGCACTGAAATCGGAAGGTGAAAGCTATGGAAACATTCAAACTAACTGAAAAAAAAGCATCTCTGCCCATTGAACCACATCTGGCAATATACATAT